GGGCAGCGCAGAGGAGGAGGCCTTCCTCTGGTTTGAGCGCAGAGGTTGACGCTGTGCGAGTGTGTGTGTTAACCTCGGTCTGGAAAGGGGTGTGGAGCAGGCAGACATCGACAGGGGATGCGTGGAGTGCTTGTCCTTTTGGAAGCCTCTGGGACGGGGCTGATGACATGAAGGGGCTGGAGGGCCCTACCTGACGCTGCTGCCCCCATCCTCACCCTCCAGGAGCTTTTCCGAGCTGTACATGCTGTCCCTGAAGGAACCCAGCCGGCGTGGGAACCCAGAGCCGGTTCAGGATGAGCCCGTGGAGGTGGTCATGCCCCTCCCCGCGAAGCAGCTGCTGCGTTTCTGCCTGAAAGACAGCGCTAGCCCTCCGGGGCCCGGGGATCTGACCGAGGAGAGAACAGAGTTCCTGCACAGCCACAACTCTCTGTCGCCACGCAGGTACACCCCCTGGGCCCGCCTTTTAGGACCCCGCAGCTCTAGGAAAGCAGCTCTCAGTTCTGAGCCACCCCTGCCCACCTTAGCTCCCTGTCGGATGAGGCTCCGGTCCTGCACAACACCACGCCAGACCTCCTCCTTGTCACCACTGCCAACCCAGCAGCACCCGGTACCGGCACCGGCAGAGAGACACCCCCCGCCCCGGTAAGCAGAAACAAGGCCCTGGAGGTTGATTGCAGAGATGATAATTGGGTGTTACTGACTTGCCTTTCACTTCTGCCCCCAGGACCAGGACCAGGACCAGGTGGGCAGCCCCAGTAGCCGTGAGGACACTGGTGACTCAGCCCCAGAACTGAGGGCCTCCATCCTGCCCAGAACCTTGTCTCTGAGGAACTCCATCAGTAAGAGTGAGTCTGGAGCTGTGGACCTGGGCGGGAGGAGAAGACAGTCAGCTCTAGGGTCCCCTCCCAAACCTCTCTCTTTTAACTTGCAGTTATGTCAGAAGCTGGCAGCGACACCCTAGAAGATGAGTGGCAGTCCATCTCAGAGATCGCCTCCACTTGCAACATAATCCTGGAGTCACTGTCCCGGGAGGGTAAGGCAGTGAGGGTCCAGGGGAGAGGAGCCAGCATGGGCTTCGTCCCTTTCAGACCTGTCCACACAGTCTCTCTCCCTTAGGACAGCCCATTCCAGAGAGCGGAGACCCCAAGGGACCTCCAAAGTGTGATTCTGAGTAAGATTTCTGCCCTCACGTAGCGTGCGTGTGTGTGTGTGTGTGTGTGTGTGTGTGTGTGTGTGTGTGTGTGAGAGCACGTGTGCATGTGCCCCTTCTCCGCCTGCTCATTGGAGTTGCTTCCACAGATACCTAAGCCTCGGCACACAGGGTTGGGGTTGGGTTCATTCTCATCAGCGGTGTCTGGGAGCCAGCACTGCTCCTGCTGAGTTCTGACCCCGTGTCCTCAGGCCAGAAGCTGGGAGCCTGTCAGAAAAGGTCTCTCACCTGGAGTCCATGCTCAGGAAGCTCCAGGAGGACCTGCAGAGGGTGAGCAGAGGGCCTGGACGGGGGAGCACAGGGCTGCCCCCGGAAAGGGTTCTGACTGCTGTTCCTCACCCCAGGAGAAGGCCGACAGGGCAGCCCTGGAGGAGGAGGTTCGGAGCCTCAGGCACAACAACCAGAGGCTGCTGGCCGAGTCTGAGAGTGCAGCCACCCGCCTGCTCCTGGCCTCCAAGCAGCTGGGCTCCCCCACTCCTGACCTGGCCTGAGGCTCGCCTGTTATTCTCCAGGCTGACTGTGGACCTGCTTGGAACTGCCTGGCTCTTGAGAGCACCTGGGTCATACTGGTGACCTTCCTCAGGATTTTCCTGCGCTGAGGCGCGTCTAGCACTGCCCCCAGTTCCCAGCCCATTTGGTGGCTAAGGTGCCCCGACCTGTCCCTGTTTGTAAATATTCTGTAAAGAAAAGGGGACACCAGAGAGTTTCAGGAACAAAAACAAAAACCAGCTCTACCTGTGTTTGTGTGTTCAGAATACACGGGTGGGTGAGGGAGCACCCCTCCTTCCCAAAGCCACATCAGAGTCTTAGGAGCACCAGGGACCGGTCCCAGGAACACTGACTTAGAGCCGGTCTGGCATCAAGCACAGGGTAGGGACTGATAAGACACCCCTTGGCTCATCTTCATTAACTGGGTTTTCTAGGGAAGCAGGTGGCCATACTCTATGCCTTCCTGTCTTGTTTAGAGCAGGAGTGGGAAGAGAGAAAGCCAGCAGGCCAGAGCAGAAGGGGATAGATTCTGGGAGGTGGCATGGAGTGCCCGGACAGGCCTCCCTGTCTTGAGTTGCTGAGCGTCAGAGCATCATTGATTCCACCTGATCACCTCTTGCAGGCCCCAGTTCCAGAGGTGGCAGGTTTTCCTCTCTGTATCCCAGAAGACAGTGGCCCTCAACCTACTTCTCACTGGCCACAACTCCCTCTGTTCCTCACTAGGCTAGGCCTTTCCCCTGAGTGGCATCATCTGTCCAAACTTGGACATTGTCTTAATGCTCTGCTTCTGCTGAGGGCCAGTCAAGGCGCAGCCCCTACCCAGGGCTTCCTCTGTGGAAACCCAGGCCTGAGTTGGCTAACTCACTCTGATAGTATAAGTGAGGGCGGGGAACACTGGGGGACAGGAGCACAAGGAAGCCTTCTTGGAGGAGGTTAATAAGAGAACTGAGTTTTAAAAGTTGAGTTCTGGGCCTGGAGAGATGGCTTAGCAGCTAAGAGCCTGTACTGTTATTCCAGAGGACCTGGGTTCAATTCCCAGCACCCACATGGCAGCTCACAACTCTGTAACTTCAAGATCTGACAGCCTTACACACATATATGCAGCCAAACACCAATGCACATAAACAAAGTGAGTTCACCAGCAGATGTCAGAGGTGTTCCAGTAGGATCAGTCGAGGGTCCACTGGGCTGAAGTTAGGGTGCACGAAGGAACCAGGAGAGGTCATGAGAAGTGCACTAGGGATCTGGTGCACTTCCTACATGAGGCCTAGCCTTTCCTGGTTTCCTCCCACAAACACCGTCTAAGGAAAGGGCTTTTATTTTGACTCTGAGGGGTTTGAGGGGATTCTTAATGATGGTGGTACATTGTTTCCAGTCTGGAAGTGAGAGAAAAAGCAATGCTGTTCATCTACTCTTTTTATCACTTCTGGACTCCATGGTATGGTGATGCTCATCTCCCATTGGTTAAGCCTCTTTGGACTCCCTCACAAACATGCAGGCGTGTCTTCTAGGTATCTGAACTCCAGTCAAGTTGACTGGAAGACTAATCGCAGGGACTATAGAGAGCTGCCTCGTGGGGCAGTGTGAAAGGACGGCCAGGCTCTGGGCACTCTGGGGATGTGTGTGCAGGGGCCTGCGATCTGACTTGTGGTTGATGTTCAAAGGGAGAGCGTTTGGCCGCAGGGAGGCTAGTGAGGAAGGAAGCTGCCCTGCAGGGAGCACACTGGGGAGGAGAGAGTAATTTCCTAGGACCTTGTGGAAGACGGATGACACTGATAAAAGAGAAGTGTCCACAGTGATGGCCAAGTTTCCGGCCGGAGCCCCTGGTGGGTGGGAAGTGATAGACAGGTAGGAGGGACAGCCTGTGATGACTATGGTCACTTGGGACAGGGTGAGTCTAAGAGACATCAGAGTACAACTGTCCAGTGGCTAGCGCCCAGGAGACAAGTGTGGGCTAGAGACAAAGATTTGGGGCAGATGAGCCATTAGTATGGTGAGGTCATTCAGGGAGTGTGGGAAGGACTAAAAGAGGGTTTCCGGGGGTCACTGGCCATTGCAGGATACTGGGAAAGCCAAGAAAGAGCAAGGCACTGCCTAAGCTAAGGCTGGGAACCTCTGCTAAGCATCGGCTGCGGGGTGCCCTTGGGTTTCAAGCCTCCTCCACCCTCCCCACCCCAGCAGGGATGCTAATGCAGGTCCTGCCTCTAGGCAAGTTCAAAGGGGTCTGATTCCAAGACCAGGTCAAGGACAGACTGGGCTCCTCCCCAGCTGCAGCTGAGTTTAGCCTGGTCCTCAGGTAGTATACACCTTGCTTCAGGCCCGCCCCCTAGATATGTGCACCCGGCGTTTGTTGGGAGACCACAGATGTCGTCCAGTTCCCCAGCATGTGCTGTTCATCCGAATCTTCTTCTGCAGGGACCATCCACCGCACTCTGCACAGGGACCTGCTCTCAGGGGCTTACCTTGCAGCTCGCCCACCAGACACCTCCAGGCCCCTCAGCACAGGGATCCCCTCACCACTGCGCCGAGCGCTCAGAGGGCACGCACATCCCAGAAGACTGGCGCTCTGGCCTGTGCGATGAGCCGCTATGCATGTGCAAGACAATAGGGGAAATAGCTTTAGCACCTGAGCTAGGCTTTGGGTTAAGGTTTTAGGTGTCCTCCTGGCACATGGTATCGAAAGTACTGCGGCAGACGTTTTTTTGTTTTGAGACAGGGTCTCCCAGCATAGACCTCACTGGCCTGGCCTTGAACTCATGTATCTCCCTGCCTTTGCCTCTGATCAAAGGCACGCACCACCACGACCCGGCTTTTTTTTGTGTGTTGGGGGAGGCAGGGACTAACAAGCTGTTTTGAGTGTTGCATATAATTTAGGCTGGCCTCATAATCAGTAAGCTCTCAAGATGACCTTGAACTGATCACCAGGGATACAAAATGGCTGCCTTGTTTCAGCCTGAGCTCCTGCCAGCTCCCAACTGTTGTGCAGGGTTTTCATCATCCCCAGGATGGTCTCACCGCCACCTCCCCTCCCAGGCTGTTCCCTATCTTTGGTGATGTAACTCCTGGAGCAAATGGACTCCACCCTACAGCTACTGGGCCCTACTGGGCCTTTGGCAGCAGGAACCCTGCCCTAGCTGCTGCTAAGTTTGCAGGATGGGAACCAAGGGTTTGTTGCAGGAGGCGTCCTCAGCTCCCAGGCCCCCATACAAGACTACAAAGTCACTCAATTATTTCACCATCATCCAACCTGAAATGACCAGCAGAGTGTGCTCAGTGTTTGCTGAAAAATGGCGATTCTCTGGCCAGCGCGGTAACACGTTTATTAGTTCAGAGTTAGAAAGAGCAAGAGTCCAATAGCTTTCTCGGTGAAGACTGTCTTGTGGCTGAACTTCTAGCCCACCCTTCTGCCTCTACACAATTTGCCCTGCTATTAAGGCACTTGAGGAAAGGGGGTACAGGGATGTCTCGGACCAAACTTCCCCCAGGATCCTTTAGGCGGCCAGCACTGTCCCACCTGTTCCTTCAGCCACAGCTCAGCACAGCAAGAGCTGGCAAGGCAGCTGCTCCACACGACAGAGCAGCGTCTCCTCCGGTGCTGGTGTCAGGTAGCACCACATAGGGGCCGCTGTTAGGAGCATTGCTTTGCATCAAGGTGTACAGGAATCCATGCTGAGGAAGACACTTGATAGTAAGGCTTTATGGCCTTAAGGCCACTGCTCCAGCTGCCCCTCTGTAGGAGTGCTGGAAGCTGGAGGATGGAAGAGGAGTCCCAGAGGTCCCTACCAAGAAGAGAGCTGATTATGAACACAGGGAAGAGCAAGTCCTCCCAGCTCCTTTCCCAGAGAAGGCAATGCTCTGCTGAAGCACCTCCGGAGAGACTGAGAAACTGCCAATAAAGAATACAGTGTGCCGCCCCAGGAGACACCACCCAAGGGAGCCGGGGAAGCTGGAGCACATGCCCCAGAACCTGTGCTTTGGGAAAGCCTCAGTGCCCTGAAACCTGCTGCTCAGAGCAGGGTCACTGTCAGCGCCTTAGGAGCTGATCTGACTCAAAAGAGCTGAAAAGTCCATGTCCGCAATGGAGGAGAAGTCTTCATCCCCAGCTAGGCCATTGGGAAGCCCTGCGGTCCCCAGGGCTGTGGGCGCTGGGTCAGGGGGCCTCTGAGACCCTGTCACCAGGCGAGTTATGGCTTCGGGGTACTCCATCAGCATGGGCTCAGCTGCAGGGTGTGACATGGACACACCCTGGTTCAGGAGCTGCTGAAACTCTGAGTTGTCGACGGATGCCAGGTCTGTGAACACGCCCGGGTCTGTGCTGCTGCCAAGCAAGGCCCCCAAGTCTTCATCAGCATCGAACTGCAGCTGCAGCAGCGCTTCAGACAGTGTGCCCTCCCCCGCCTGGGTGGTCTTTGGAACAGCTGTGGCCAGGGCTTGGGGAGGACCTGGGGCGAGAACTGTGACAGGGGCTGGGGGCTGAGCCAGAGCTGGTACCATGGCTGAGGAGGGGACCAAGGTCTGGGCCAAGACGGGGGCAGAGGATGGTGCCAAGGCCAAGGCCTGGTTTGAGATCTGCCCAGATGGTAACACCATGGGGGAAAACTCATCAAAGTTGATGGTACTGAGGGACGCTGGGAAGGCATAGGGCTGCGGGGCTGCGGGAGAAAGACAAAGAGCAGAGCGTTAGAACAGGGCAGGACACAACCCACCCCAGCCACCATCACTCAGCCCAGCGCCAAGCGGCAGAGAACCAGTGCCTTTTAGGAACTAAAATCTGACCTGGCCTGTAGGGCCCCTGACTATGGGGTCATAAAGCTCCCACCCTGACCTTTTCAAGTTCTTCTCGTGTTACAGCTGCAAAACCGAGCATATGTCACTTTTTTTGAGCCACACACTAGAATTCACAGTCTATTACTTTTTAAAAAATGTTGTTTTATTTGTATGTGTGTTGCCTGCTTTTCTGTATGTGCACTACAGAGACCGGAAGAGGGCGCTGTATCCCCTTGAGCTGCAGTTGAGACAGTTGTGAGCCACCCTGTGGGTGCTGAGAATAGAACTCTTTGCAAGAGCAGTGAGAGCTCTTAACCTCTGAGCCATCTCTCCAGCCCACAACTTATTACTTCAGAGGTGATTTCTGCTTTCTAAATTCATCAAGAGCTGGGAGCAGAGACTATCCACTTCCAATGTCTGTATCTCAAGGTATCCAACTCAGGGACTGTTTAATCCCTTGGAACTGGGTATTGCATTGAGAGCCTCATCCATGCGGGAAAGCATCCTAACACTGAGCTGTACCCTTACCCTGCTTTTACTTTTTAACTTGAGACAGGGCTCTTCAGCCTGGCCTTGAACTTCACCCTATAGTCCAAGATGGCCTTGGACCTATGACCCTCCTGCCACACTCTTCCCAGTAGCCAGAAATATAGGCTGTTAGCATAAGGCCTGGACCTAGCCCAGGGTTTAACTGGAGTATAGCCACAGACTTCCATGGACACTAACACCTCAGAAACTGCTGGTTACTGTGCCATACTTCCAAGCCTTGAGTTGATCAGGCTCTGGCAGAGCCCAACAATCAACACCTGCACTGCTCCCTGGACTGGACAATCCTGGCACAGCGCCAGGCCTCACCCTGAGAAGTATGGGCCCACAGAGAGCAGGCTTCAGAACTCTGCGGGTGAAAGCGAGGTCTGCCCAGTTCCCTTCCAAAGATACTCTAAGTTCAGTCTGCACAAATGTGACCCTCATTCAAAAAGGACAAAAGGACTTCCTTACCTGGCTTGGAGACAGAAGGTGAGCTTCTGGAAGGCACGGCAATACGCCGGGTTGGAGGCCGGGGTTCAGTCGGTCCTACAGAGCAACAGCTAGGTCAGCTTTAAGACCCCAGGGATTTTCTCAGACTCTGGAGCTTGGCCTACCTGCCCATTCCTCTCCCTCAGGCTGTCCATATCTCACCATTGAAAGGACTCTTCTTCATGATGCTCTTGAAGGTCTCATAGGTCCTTTTGCGTTTCTCTTCAATCCGGTGGCGGTCATCTGGGAAAGCAATATGGACGGTAGGATTTACTCTCTAGCTGGGCGCTAGTTCTCCTCCCAACCAATTAAGAAGGGATGTGTGCCTAGATTCTAAGAAGGGTCTGATAGTTAAATCTTCTTTCCCGATGGCTTTTTGAGACAGTCTCACTGGATAGTCCTCGCTGTCCTGAAACTCACTATGTAGACCAGGATGACTTCAAACTCAGAGATCACCTGCCTCTGCCTCTGCAACCCTGTGATTAATGGCGTGCGCCACCACGGCCAGCCTTGTTGGCTGAGTTTGACCCTGCTAAGTAAAAGAGCCCTGCTCTGGGGGACAAGAACCCGCAGCTCACCTCTCACCTGTTTGGCTCACCTAAACATCCACTGAGGCTCAGGGGGAAGCACTGTGGACTGAGGCTAAGGCCGCCAGAGATTCAGCTCAGTTAGGGGCTTGTTCCTTTAGTTCCAAGAACCATCTAGAGCACCTCAGTTTCATTCCTCCAAAGTGAACTTTATCACCTCACACCCGACCACCAGTTCTTTTTTCTCTGTCTCACACTGTCCTGGCACCAAAACTGGAAACTGGAATTACCCTGAACATCATCTTTTCTTTCACTCTCCCAATACTAATGCAACAGAACTTGCCAAAGTTTGTGTTGGCTACTATGTGCTGGCTTTTCTCACCCTTGGGGATGAGTAAGCACACAAGAGGTTTAATCATCAAAAAGGTGACCTTAAAAAGTGCCAAGATCAGCCCAGGAGGTGGTGGCACACACCTTTAATCCCAGCACCTGGGTGGCACTGGCGGGGGGGGGGGGGGGAATCTCTATAAATTGGAGGCCAGCCTGGTCTACAGAGTGGGTTCCAGGACAGCCAGGGATCTATTCAGAGAAACCCTGTCTCAAAAACCAAAACAACCAACCAACAACACAGAAACCAGGAAAACCAAAACACCTAATTTATTACATTTACGTGTGTGTTGCCAGGGGGTGGTGGCACATTCCTTTAATCCCAGCACTCAGGAGGCAGAGGCAGGTGGATCTCTGAGTTCAAGACCAGCCTAGTCTACAAGCAAGTTCTGTCTTAGAAGGCTGTCTTAGCCTGGATTACACAGACAAATTGTCTCAAAAACAAAAATTAAAAAAAAGACCCCCCAAACCCAAAAAACATGTGCAAACATGTCACAGCATGAGGTCAGAGGACAACTCGTGAGAGTCAATTATCTCCTTTTATCATGTGGCTCAAACAGAAGTCATCAGGCTCGGTTGCTTATGTCTTTACTCAGAGCAGTCTTGCCAACTCTTTTTCTTTTTTGAGACAAGATTTCATGCAGCCTTAGCTGGCATCAAATTTACTATGTAGCCAAGGCTGACCTTGAACTTCTGATCCTCCTGTCTTCACTGCCCTAGTGCTGGGATTACAAGTGTGGAACACCATGCCTGGTTTGAGTGTACTGGGGGTTGAAATGAAGGCCCTCTGCATGCTGGGCAAGCCCTCTACCAACTCAGCTTCCAGACCTACTCATGTCGTCTCTGCTTAGAAATCTTAAGTGCTTCCCTGTTGCTTTTAGGATGAAAGCCCAGACATGGCTAAGTCTAACAAGGCCGTCCTTTGGGCTTGCTCACTGCCTGAAGACAGCTCCTACCATGGACATCCCTGGACAGGCTGTGTACTCCCCAACACCCTCATCCTTCCAGGACTAGGCCACTAGCCTGAAGAACACTCGTCAGGTTTTCCCCCCAGGGGAATGCCACCTCCTCCACCTTCAGCTCCCAGCGCCTGCACTTCCTCAGCCCTTTCAACACATGCCCATTTGCTATAGCACTTACATATCTGTCTACTGACTCAGCTTGTGAAGGGCAGGGAATCCTGTAGCATTAAAACAAGATAAACAGAACCTTCATTTATGTGCAGGGTGTCTTGGCGGCATGTTTGTCTGTGCGCCACGTGCATGCCTGGTGCCCTAGGAAGCCTGACACTGGAGTTACACATGGCTGTGAGCTGCTGTGTAGGTGCTGAAAGTTAAATGCAGGACCACTGGCAGAGCAGCCATGTCTAAAGCACTGAACCTTCGCTCCAGCTCCTGTCTCGCTTGATTTTTATGTAGGGCACACGGCACGAGCCCTGACTGCCCACTAAGCTTTGAGCAAAATGAAGCTAGATCATATGGTAGTGACAAGAGACACGAGGTGGCAGCAAGTCCACAGAGCCAAGTGCTCTTGGTTCAGATGCACCCCTGCCTCTCACTGCTAATGAGTTCCGGGAGGCCTTCCCCTCAAAAGGTGATGAGAGAATCCGGTCAAGCCCTTCCGGAAACGCTCACAGCAAGGGATACAGTAGACAGAGCGAATACACTGGAGGTCACTGTTAAACAAGGGAAGAAAGGGACTGTGACTGTAACTACATGTTTAACAATGACGACGCATTCTGAGATATGTTTGGCAAATCGGTCATTGTATGAACTCCTCTATTGATTACTGTATTGTGTGTGTGTCCGTGTTAAGTGTCTGCATGTGCACAGCATGCCAACGATCAACACTTCCTGCGCCCCCTCCAGCTTATGTACGCGTCGCTGTTTTGCCTGCTTGCACGCATGGGCAACATGTCCTCGCCTAGTGCCCTCGAAGTCAGAAGAATAGACTTAGAGACGGTTGTGAGCCACCCTGTGGGTGCTGGGAATGAAGCAGCAAGCGCTCTTAACCCCTGATCCACCTCTCCAGCCACCTGATGTATTTATTTACATGAGACAAGATCTCACTACGTAGCCCTGGCTGGCCTCAAACTCACAGAGATTTGCCTGTCTTTGCCTCCCAAGTGCTAGGAGTCAAGTGTGAAGCAACACGCCCAGACTCTCACTGAATCTGGGACACCTTGATTCAACAAGGCTGGTTGGCGAATTAGCCCTAGAGATCTGTTTCTGTGCCGTCAGCACTCCGGTTACACACGCTTGCCGGAACAGCCAGCTTATTCCATGAACGACCTAGAGAATACTTACGCCAAGACGCCTATGTAGTCTTAGGTGACTTAGGTGACCACTACGGCACATGTGGTCTGTTTCTGACAGAAACGTTATGTGCAATGAACTACAGTATGTGTAGGTCCTGAGAGCTGGCCCCAGACATGCAGCCCTCATCTTTCTCCTAGCAGGGGCACAGCAGCCTGGGTATGCCCTCCCCAGCCTCACACCTGTGTCTGGTAGGTACTGGAACTCCATGGGCTCACTAAGCTCCCGATCAGAAGGCCGCCGGAGCTGCATGGAGACTCGCACTGGAGCCTGCAGGCTGGGGTCGGCGTATGGAGGGGTCCGGAACACAATGGCCACTTGCCGGTGCACATCAGCTTGAGAAAAGGAGCCTCGTGCCTCCCAGCCCGGCCCGGTGAAATACACCTCAATGTCCTCTGCAGGAGACAGTGGCAGAGGCAGTATGGGTTAGTACGACAGACCCCCAACAGACCACTGTCCCCAGCTCCTCACGCTTTTTCCCTGAGACATCACTCTTCATCCCCCCCCCCTTCCGCCCCCAGGCACATCACCCCTGCTCAGCCTCACTCCTCCCCACCCCCCGCTTGGTACCCAGAAGCCAGTGTGTACCTTTCTGCACCTTGTCACACAGCAAGAAGATCTCATCCCCACCAAGGCAGCTCCCGGAGTTCCGGTTTACTCGGCAGATCTTGAGCTCGGCAGTGTTGGGGGCGCCTGAGGGTGGGACAGGAAGCAAACCCTGAAACATCAGAGGTCTCCAGGGTACCCCAAAGGAGATGTAACAGCCGTGCCCAGCCCAATTCTGGGTCAAGGACCCCCAGCTTGCTGACTACACTTTCGAAGACCATTCCTATCTGCTTTTCACCTCAGCCAAGTTGCAAACTGTCTCCCCGCTGTGTGTGTGGCCCGGTTCTACAGAAGAGGGGCGGAGCAGCAGAGAAAGCTGGACTGCTCTGTCCTTTGCAGACCTTACAGTCCAATGGAAACAATCTGACCACACCCAGTCTCCCTCCACCTGGGCAGGCGCATGTTCAGCTTTTGGCTCATCCCTACCTTGGCAAGGAGTCCTTCCCTCCTCACTCCCAGCTCATACTGGTTTCCGGTCCTTGGGACTCCAAAGCCCTTTTACTCTCATTCACCCTGCTGCTTGTTAAAGGCTGCAATCCATCAATGTCAGCCCAGGTCATCTGAGAACTTCCTGTGAACTGCTACTGTTGAATTATCACTGTCTAGCACTATCTGGTTCCTGGGAGTTTGTTTCCTAAAGTCATGAACACAGTTCCTGACACACCAGCATCTGAACACAAGCTATGGAAAACAGGACTTCCCTCCCATCAGGCTCTTGGGGATCCAGGAAGCTTCACACTGGGGGCAGCTCTGGGCATTCTCTGCCCTGTCCCCTGCAGTACAGCTGGATGACTAAAGGAAGCCATCACTCTTCTCCCAGGCCACACCCACCTTTCCCCTTTACTGCAGCTAGCCACTTACGGTTATCAAAAATAGGATGAGAGAGGACAGGCGGCAGGCGGAGGGGCCTGCCTGACGGGTCCCGCACTGTCACCTGGAAGCAGAGGCGGACTGCGTTCAGGTCATAGTCCCCCCGCTGTTCCTCAATGGGAACTGTTAAAAAAAACAAAAAACAGTGAGGGGAGTCAGGGAGATGCAGGGAGCTCTGAGGGAAGAGGTAAGGCTATCTGAGATGGAAAGATACAAAACAAAAGTCTTAGGGAAAGAAGACAGGATTCTACTGTGACCTGGAATACACGACCCCTCTAGGCCTCTCTCTCAATCGTAAAATGTAAGTGTGTACCAAACTGCCAGCAAGATTCCACTATTACGTTGGGTTGGCCACGGAGAAAGAGGAGTGCGGAGGGAGGCCCAGGCAAAATGAGGGAGATGTGTGCACCATAGGTAGGCTTCTGCCTTTGCCCCTTGCTCCTACCTTGAAAGGGGTTATTGTTGGTCTGGATGCGCTGGCTAATGGCTTGCTCCAGGTCTCGCTTCTTCACACACTGGATCCCCAGGTTCTGGAAGCTGAGGTGCCTCACACATCAGTTTTGTGTCCTGGCAGAGCCCCTCCCTCCCGCCCCTCTGCCCAGGTCACAGGCCTAGGCTTCCCACGGTGCTCAATGAGACCCATTCCATTGGCAAGTCTCTGAGGGACCTGCTCCAAGACCGTGTCACAGCCACCCTCCGACGCACGGGCTCTTCTCCTAAGCAAGCTAAACTTATTTCTTCTTCAAGGTCGCTGTACTTCTCTCTAGGGCCCGGAAAGTTCCTTTGGACTTGTCTGCTTTTTCTCACCATTTAAGTGTCAGCAGACAGGCCTTCTGAAACTATCCAACCCAAAGGCATGGTGATACATGCCTATTATCCTCGGAGTTGAAGAGGTAACTGAATCCTAATGAGTTCAAGGCTAGCCTGGGCTATAAAAGACGCTGTCTCAAAGTCATGAGACCAGAATCCTCCCTCTAATTTATTACTGTGTTTTCTCCCCCCCCCCCCACCTTTGGTTTTTCAAGACAGAGTTTCTCTGTGTAGCCCTGGCTGTCCTTGACTCACTGTGTAAACCAGGCTGGCCTTGAACTCACAGAGATCCACCTGCCTCTGCCTCCCAGAGTGCTAAGATCACAGACATGTGCCATCGCACCCAGCACTGTGTTTTCTTTTCATCATGAAAATTATTATTCTCCAGTAGTCTATCTTGTCCATCTGTTTATACAATTACTTATCACTTGTTTTTGCCAACAAGTATTTAAGCTCCTGGAGAGTCCATTATGAGTATCTTTCTGACACAAGAGCCTAAGGGACTGTCCTGTCCAGCCACGGTGATTTGTGGCTCCAAGATGATAGGAGATCCTGATCCCATGGAGTTCCTATTAGAGAATTTTTGACAAAGGAGGTCTGTCTGCAGAGCTGGGGACAGAAAAGACTGGACTCTGCCTGTGTCTAGAAAGGGGTAACACTGTAACAGGTGCCTGGCCACCCTGCCTGCTCCTACCCTGTGCTCAGCCCACGCCCGGGCTTTAAGGGGCTCACCTGTGGATGCAGCGGTCTGGGCAGAGTTCAGCCTCGTAGAAACCATCCCTGCAGTCCTTCCCCACCAGTTCATGTGGATGAGGCCGGTGAGGTGGGTCCTTGGTGACCAGGGAGATGCGAACTGTTCCTGGTCCAGTGTAGCCATTGATCTGTCCAAAGTACAGAGTACGCTAGAGGCCAGCAATCCCACACCGGGCTCCTGGACACAGGGCACAGGGGCACGGAGGCAGGTCTGCTGGGGCTCCACAGTGCCTTCCGCCACCATGTCTCGCCCCCGCCCACACCCCTGGGGGCCCGTGCCTACTTTGATGGTGGGGTGCGTCTTGGTGGTATCTGTGCTTCTCTCGCCAGGAATACTACCCGCTGAGCGACCCTCGCACTTGTAGCGGAACCGCATGCCCCGCTGTTTGGGCTGCTCAATGATCTCCACATAAGGCCCAGAAGCCTGGGCTGGCTCTGTGGGTAACACAGCTGGCCATCAGGTGCTGGCCACCAATCCGGGGCAGCCCCTTCCCACTGAGGAAGGATGGTCAACTTACCTGAGGGGAAGATGAGGGGAAACAGATCTGAAAGGCAAACACAGACACACTGTCAGTGAACTTCACCGCCCACTCCCGAGGACCTCGGAAGGCCTGATAGAGGTAAGACCGGAAAACTGCCCAGAAAGCAGGCTAAAGAAGGCAGTAGCGTCTCTCTAGTAGAGAAAAGGGGCAGAGAGGATTCCTTAGCCCAGGGAAACCTAGTCAGTGCCTGTTTTACATTAATAAGAGGTACTGAAGAAGGTTACCATCCCCTCTCCTCTTTAGGGTAAACTGAGGCAAATACTTTCTCCCTCACAAGGAAAGGAAGCTAGAACTAATCATCTCGACACGGGGGGGAGGGGGTGCGGAGGAAACTGAGTCACGATCCAACCACACTCCCACCCCAGGAACGACACTGAGTCAAGGCGCCCTCCGCTGAGAGGGGTAAACTGAGTCAGAGTCCCTCGCAGCCCGCCCCGCCCCGCGCCACCGTCCGGCCTGCCGCTCCCTGCGCAGCACCCCCTGGCGCAGAAAGGGGCGGAAGACGGCGCGGCGGAATCCCGCCGCGGGGGCCCGGGGCTCGCCGGCCGCCGTCCCGCGGGGCCGGGGGCCGCCTCACCGTCCATGGCCGGGGTCCCGGGGGCGGGGCCGGGGTCGCAGCTGAGCCCGCGGCGCGCTAAAGCGAAGCCATTCGCCAGAGGCGGAAATGCGCGGCGCGCGCCCGTCGTCGCGTCACTGCCCGGAACCCGGCCGCGCCTGCGCGCTGCGCCGCCGTCACCGACGCGCGTGGGGG